TTTTTTTTTTTTTTTTTTTTTTTTTTTTTTTTTAGTTTTGGTTTGGTTTTTAAAGCTAATGTCTATCTTTAAGACATGGCTAATTTGGAAAAATACCTGTCTGATTTTTTTTGAATGTTCATTACAAAACTGCTTTTAATTTGTCACTGGATTGTTAGAGGATGTCATAATAATTATTTTTTTTTGTGGGGGGGAGGGCAGGGACAGAGGGAACAATAGTTTGGGTAAAATTTTTCAAAAGCATTTAAGCTGCTTAGATTCCCCCACTCTAAGCCAGGTGGTCAACAGAGCAGTTAAGGCACACAAGAAAAGGATGCGGTTCCCATGTCTGCTGCCTGATTTTTTTTTTTTTTTTTTTTTTTTTCCCCTATTCCGAATGGTCAGGTACTCATTTACAGTTAGCTTGGCAATGGCCTTCCAAGTGACTTCAGAGTTATGCTTGAACATGCAGCTCTGGATCCATAGCACATTAAGTGGGGTCTGTTATATTGTTTTTTTTTCTTACTGCTGCCAGTAGCAAAAATACAGCAAGCTGATTTCTACCCCCTCTCTACTTACGGCCTTGGTATGCAAACTGTGAATCAGGCACTTGGATGCATTCATTGATGCTGTAGTGAGGGGCCTGTTTATCTAAACTATTTGAGGTCAAACTAAGCCTGCAGCCCAGATCTGCCCACGGAGGTGGGTCATCCAGCACATGAGGCTTCTCAGGTGGGGCTGGATTTGGCCCACAGGGCTCATTACTGCAGCTGCCAGAGCCCAGGAACAGTGTCATTAATCTCTGCTGTTTGAACACAACTCTGGAGCCCCAGAACTTAACAGTGTTCTTCCAACCTCATCACCCATTGCCAAGATCTGGGCTTTTAGTTGCTCCTGGTAACCAAGATGAGCAACAGCAGAAATGCTTGGGGTGGAAGTGAGCTAGTGGTGGTAACTTTCTGGAGCCATGCTGAAACAGTGGCTCCTTCAAATGCTGAGATTAATGCTGCTGTTTGTAGGAACCCCTGCCATCCAGATCCAGTGCACAAATTTGACACCCCTGATCTAAAGTGACTGTTCTGTAGCTTTCCAGCATGCATCCCTCCCACTCTTCCAGGGGGGTTGCCTGGTGTAGCGGGTATACTGAAGATTCCTAGTCAAGAGTGAGAGCATGCTGCATTGGCTTCATTTCTGCTTCTCTTATGTGTTTTGCAAATAAGAGAGAATTGAGGGCACTTTAGTTTGGCAGTAGCTTGTATACCTGTCAACAACTACTGTGTGCTGCTCCCACAGAGATTGAAAAGTCAGAGGGAAATATGTTTTGTTTTTAAAAAGTATGTTGTTGAAGGGAACTAAATGCTTTGCAGAGAGGCCTCTTAATGGACGCTTGGATGTAAGCATTTGTATATTTTTTTTCTCTTATTGTTCCAGGGTTGATCGTAAGCTTAGAGAAGGAGCTCACGCCCTTGTTTGAGGAACTGAGGCAGGTGGTGGAAGTCTCTTAACCTGATGTTCTCTTCAAGTGCAGCATTTGTCAACAACCCAGTGGGCAGGAAGATTCCATAATTCAGTCCACAGAATAACAAATGTCTTGGAAGAAACACCACTTCTCATACTAAATAAGAGTAAAATTGTACGTAGTGCTGAGTCTGAAATGAGATACTAGTGTATTATAGATAAAAACTTTTTGGCCACATTTCTTGGGCAGTAGTAGAGAGACCAATAAAATGGCTCCCATGGAGTTCAGCTCAGCCACTTGCTAAGGATCAGGCTTACCAGAGTTGGGCAACAACAACTTCATACCATAGATTCAAATAAGTAACCCAGAGTTCCTTGCTACACAGGGAGTGAGGAATGTGGTAGGGTTTATCCTATGACTTAGCTACCACTACATACTGGGGAGGCAAAGGTTTCATTTTCCCAGTTGTCTTGTAATGAATGCTTCACTGCTTCTTTGCATGTGCTGGGGGAGAGAGCATTATGATAAAGGAAGTTTGCTAGCTGTTATTTATCAGTACAATCAATAACTATCCCATGTTTCTCGTATTTGATGCTTTGGTAAAGGAATTCTACTAATTTGAATGTTAACTTACTTCTTCTGGCGGGAAGTTACTTCTATAAAAGCTACTGTTTTAAGGGTTTTCATTATGCCCAGATATAAGTGCCCAATCAGTGTTCCATGTCCACAGAATCTTTTTTGTAAAATGTAGGTGTGAGAGCCTTGTTTGTCTTTTGTTCTACTATTCTTTGTGTGGATGCATTAATGGTTTTCCTAAGTAAATCTAAATAAATACAGTATTTTTAAAAGTTGTAGCCTGTTTAGTTTTTCATAACTGTCCTAAACTAGCACACCAACCTTTCCAAGCAGATAACTCCCCCTTAGTGCTCTGTGAATGTACAAACATTTTAGTTAATTTACAGGCTGAAAAGTAGCTTTGAATAGATGCATTTTGGTCTTGGGGTTATCAGGTTCTATTTTAACATATCTGTCAACTGTCACCATCTGTACTTCTAGGGGCATTATATGAATAAAAGAATGTGGAGGCCATATGACACTGAAGTTAACACACAATTATCTATTCGTTTCAGTAAGGGATTTATGATTAAAAAAATAGTGCTGGCCCTTCCCTGTTTCTGCTTGGTAACTGCTATCAAAATAATGTCTTTTGATTGGCTGTTACTGAGAGGAGGAAGGTAGGGGTGCTAGAGCATCTCCCCAAAGCTACTGCACTTAAATTTTGCTAGATGGAGGAGTTGTGAATGGTACAGTAAAGAAGCTTTGACAATGAAAGGCTTGCTAGCAGCCCACTTCCATTTAAATTAAGCTGTAGCTTCTGCACTTTTGCTGACTGATGCTGCATGTGGAAGAGGTAGCTTCTCAGCTGGCAGTCCTACAACAGCATTTTTTATACTGCAAGGAAAATGCTGTGTTCCTAACTCATAAGCAGCTACTGTAAATGCCTGACAAGGTTGCTTAATAGTTTCCCTATGAAGATTTTTTTTTTTTTTTTTTTTTTTAATGAAGAGGTGAACTCTGGCCTGCCTTTTCTCAAAAACACCAAACTAAAACCAAAAGCATGGGCTGGAACCTATTCTTTTTATTAGGCAGTTAACTGCAATCCTCTTCCACTTTGCTCAAGTCGCTGGCAAAAACATTAATAACCTACTTCTACAACAACTCACTTTGTGTTAAGGCAAAGTCACAAAAAAGCTGCTGCTTTAGGACAGCAGGAGGAAGACCCTGACCACTTGTTGCGTTAATTGTTTTTCAAGGACGTGAGATGGGTGGAATAGGGTTACACTCGGGCACTTACTAAGCAGAATAAGATCTGCCCCCTTGTGCCAAAGTTGTTTCTTCAATTCTGTGACAGGGTGTTTTCTTATGGGAGGGAGCAGGCTTTTGCAAGTAGCCTTCAGGTACAATTTAAGTCCTAGAAGAGTAAAGCCAGAGGGACCTCAGAAAGTCATCTAATCCAGCTTCCACCACAAGGCAGGATCATTCCTGACTACACCATTCAGACATTTGTCCAACCTGCTTTTAAAAACTTCTACAAATAGAGATGGGCTACCTAGAGAAGTAATTATTCCAAAGCTTAACCACTCTCATAGTGAGAAGGTACCTCCTAATATCCAGCCTAAATTTTCTCTGCTGCAATTTTGTCTTACTGAGACAATTGCTCCAGTGCTGTCCCCTGTAGTCACAGGGGCTGCCTGTACATGTCACCAGTGGTGGAGGGGGGTGTTTTAATTAAAGCAGTTCCTGGAGAGGCACTCCAATTAAAATACCTCATTGTCATGTCTATTAAGCCCTTGCACATTTAAAAATAGCCACAGGGCACTTGAGCTAAACCTCATTCAAGGAAGTTTAGCTAAAGCACCTCTGTGGCCATTTTAAAATGCATAGAGGTCTAATAGGATGATAAAGCATTGCTAGAGTGTTTTAGTTAGAATGCAGAGTTTGTGTTCTAATTAATTGAGGGCATCCAGTGAGTCTGCTCCAATGCATTTTAATTAAAATGCAAATAAGCACATGTATAGTCAACCAGGAAATAATCCATTTTCATCATCTTTATAACAACCCTTCAAGTATGTGAAGACTTATCTAATTATACCCTCAGTCTTCTCTTCTTCAGACTAAATAATCCCAATTCTTTCAGCCTTTCCACATAAGTCAGATTTTCCAGGCCTCTAATCATGTCAGACATTTTTCAACATTTATGGTGATCTTTATTTAGACATCTTAAAAACTCTGAAACTCTATTTTTAAAAAATACAAATATTTATTTGAAATAGCAAAAATAAAATAGAACACTTCCTATTTATTGCAGTTCTGAATTTTTTTTACTGGTATAGCTGTCACTCGCTCTTTTTTTCTTCCCCCTCCCCCCCAGTACCTGCTTTCATGTAGTAAAGGCAGTTACAGCTAATACTGTGGGCAAGCTTTATTATACAGATGCCAATATGGTTTACATAGAGCATAATCTGTTTTTACAGTGTGAAACTTCTTGATTCAGCCAAACTTTATAATACTTGAAGAGAAAAAAATACATGATCCCTTTTTTTATCTAAGAGTAACTCATGCACAACAGTTCACTTCCAATATGTAATGCCTCTCTCTTGTGTACTACTGCAGAACTCAGTGGGCTAAAACAAACTTCCACTTATGAACACTCGGATCAAAGTAGCAGAAATGCTTGGAATCCAGATTAAACACACACACCGTTTGGAAAGAAATTCTTTTTAAAATACTTCAAATGTTAGTCATTTCTAATGTAGCTGTTGCCTTGTGTTACATTTTTACTACTTATTAAATTGTGCATGGTTGTAAAACTAATGTTATGCTCTAGGCAATGTTGCCTGCATTTTCCAACAAGTGGGGAAAATGTCACATAGGCAAGTGACTCAACTGCAACTTCTATTGGAAGGGGAATTATGCCTGCCCTAGGGTGTTCTTTTCTCTTTCTCTGGGATCTGGTTCTACTTTCTCAACAGTTGTATTGGACATAGTAGGACTGGAGATCAGCTACTATAAGTGAAGATACTTTCAGTATGGTATGTTTCTGTATCTCCATCTGATTCATTTAACACAGTCATTCTCAGCTATACACTTCTAACTACCACTGACACAATGTAAGATCAGATTATGCTACGCACATCTTTAAGCAAAGTCGAACAATTCATCCCTCACTGATGAAGTGTTTAAAAAAAAAATCTCAATTCCTCACTAATAGCTCACTTATTACAAAAATATCATCTAGTTCATTTTTTAGCTACATGAACGAATCAGCAGGAAGGTGGGCTGTACATTTCCTCAAGGGTTTAAGCACTTAAAAACAATACAAAAAATATTTAATCTTTCCAGGCTAGATACCACAGAACACGTTGCCAAGGGTTAGCTATGAACTTATCACAGGAGAGTGCTACATTATTATAATACAAATTTTAAACAATATTTTTTCTTTTTGCCAAGTGAATGGGCCAGGTTTTTGAGCTAGATGCACATTCCGAATGTAGAGTATGGCTGGGTTTGGGACTGGCATTGCAATGTTGGCAACAGTTTTCATGTATCATTCCACACTCCAAAAATGCTCAACTAACAAATCTTTGTGTGCTGAGTTGGATGTAGTTACATGTATGTTCACTGTAGATACTGGATACACAGACACTTCTCACTCGTGAAGAAATGGCATATTCCTAACTCTGGAGAGAGAATCTTGTGAAGGAAGCCATAATCCTGAGAGGAGTAACTATGGAGTGAGAGTGGCACTACGCTGCTCCAGCTGTTTTCGTATTTGAGACTGAAAAAGAAAGACAACCCATTACTTACACGTGTGTGAGTACACTCATGGATTATACACAAAGAAATAAAAATGAGTCAAGAAGACCAAATGCCAGACCCAGATTTCTGAGCAAGTTACGTTTTAACACCACACTGTCCTGCTGACTCCCTCATGTCCTAATATATATTGACTGTATTGTCCTATATGATCTACAACCTAAGTAAGACAAATCCCTTGTTTCTTTCTTTGTTCTGGACAGGATTATGCATGCACAAAATGCATTCAAGGAAAGGGCACTATAGGAAATGTACATTTAAAATGTTTGACCAGGTCTGCACAGGTCTCTTAATTTACTGATTTGAAACTGTAGGTCCAGGTTAGATGACCTTCGTTAGGGGAATTCCAGCAAGATCCTGGAAAGTACCAACACTTCCTGCCTGTAAGGGGGACAGATTTTACAGAGAACTATACTATATATAGGCCATAAAGTTATTTTATTTTATAAATATTTTATGATTCCTTATGACTTATACCTAGCAGCTAAGTAAGACTCCCATTGTGCCTAGACCCTGCATAAGTCTTCTGACAGCATTTCCCTTCAGCATGACACCATGTTCTTACCAGTTTCCACCTCAGTATCTTAATCCATTCATCTGCTTCTACTCCAGTCTTTGCACACAGGTAATATGTCCTTAATGGGAATACTAAGCTGTAAATGGAACATAATTAAAATAATGTGTGAAGCTCTCAGAATAACCAACAGTTTTTCCCAAAGCTAAATTCTGTTTTGACACCTGCCAATTTTTTTCAGTAAGACTCAGAGTGATGGAAAGATGCTATATTTACATGGCTTCTGTCTCAGGTGAGTCTGTGGAAAGTTTAAACTGTGTTTAACCAAAACTCTTTTTAAATTTGGTATTTGAAAGGGCAATACTTGTTAACTTATTGTCCCTTACCAATATAAACAAATGTGTTGCATTAACTGCTTTGCAGCACTGGGCACAGAGTATCTCTAGTACATGCTATGAAAAGCAGCCATGTTTAAACACAGTGGTTGTGGCTTGACCATGATTTACACATGCTTACAATGGGGCTAAATTTGTACAAGGACAGGTAAAAGGATTGCAGGCCAAAGCTGTGCAGACTTGATCAAGATATCTGCAATGAACGGATAAAATACAGAATGGGAGATGCTTGATAACACTCACCAAGCATCAAGCATCTCTTTTAGAACTAACTGGCTATAAAAGGGTTCCTGAATATTTAGGCCCTTAAAAAAGAAACTAGAAGAAGAATCAAAGGTTTATTTTGCATTACAGCTTACCAAAAACAGTTGACTTTTTCCTGTGAGTAATCAAACTGTACTGCTGAGCATTCTGTTAAGTCTAGTGCCCGGATTGGTTCGGTGGCCTTGAAAATAAAATACTTTTAAAATTAGAATGTTATGAAACTGGCTTTTGGGGGGGGGGGGTCATCTCCAAACCCTCCCACCCCAAGTCGGTAGGGTCGTTGCCCTTGCCACCCCTCCCCAGTTATGCCACTGAGCTGACCTCATTCCCAAAGCAGGCAATGGACACACTTCCCTTTTTCCATGCACTAGGCCAGTGTATACAGTGATACTGAAGTAAATCAGGAGTAGCACCATTGACACTACTGGAGCCAATCCAAATAGTGTAACTCAAAGACAGATTTAGCTGAATGTAAGAAGCAGGGAAATAACTTGAAAAGTACAGCTGCACTGATGACAGGTCACGGCACTGCCAGCTGAAGGATAAGAGGTGTGGGCAGACTCAAAGCCCAGATGAAGCCTAACACTGTTACCAAATTAGCAGCCATTTTCATATAGTTTCCAACTAAAAGGACTTTAGCTGAAGGAAATAAAAAGCTGTTTTGGGATCCATGTGTTGGAGGATTGGTTAAGCAAGGGAAAGTTTATCCTTCTTAGTAAAAGAACCAGTGAAGCTTGCTCACCAGATCACACCAGTTATATATAACCCAGCTGAGGGAGATTCAGTTAATGCCTCAGGATACTAAATGGGTTTAATCTGGGTGAGAAGAAAAGTAAACATGAGACCCAAGGCTATCCATTGCCATGAGACTCTTCTTTCCATTTTTTTGTCCAAGTACAGATGTGTCTGGCTCTGCAGTTGAAGAAAAACAAACAGTTTTGGCAAGTGAGTGAACTCTCTCCAGGTATGAGACTCTGGTCTGGATCTGACCTTTGTTTCTGCTTGAGCCAGCTGGTCACAAAGAGGTTTACTAAAGTGAAAGATCAGACTATTCTATGCTAAAAAAGCTTTGCCTTTCTTACTTGAGATGAAGCAGTATGTATACTACTTCTTTTCTCCCCAAATTAGCAACTGCATAGTCTGACTGGAGGTGATATTCTCTGTTAAAAGTTACTCCTGATTTGGTAAGCAATTCTATTCAAATGTTTGATTTTGCCTTGTGAAATGCTATCTTAATTCAAATTAGATTCAGTATGAAGGCATGGACTGAACTGACTAAAGCATGCATGTTTATAAGAGCAATGTATGGAGCTGTAACGGAGGTAAATGGTGCTGCACCACCTGATTAAAAATCTGTTGGTGATCTTGGATGGAAAGTATTTGTTTCTGTAGACACCTCTAAACTTGTAAGTGTTACAAGGGCAGAATAATCATCCAGAGGGACCTAGGCAAAGGAAAAACTAAACACGGAAGATAAAGAGGTAGCTAGCTGTGTCAGTCTGAAGTCGGACAGGGTAGCGGTGCACCCTACAGAGAGTAACCGTTGCCCGAGAAAACCTAAGTTGTTACATCTGGGGAAAATAATTACAGCAACATACCATAACAGGAACAATAGGAAGTAGATGCTTAGATAAGTAAAAATGCCCCCAAAATGCTGCATCACTCAAAGGGATAAAAGCAAAACCTCCTCCACGCCCCCCCCCCCCCAAAAAAAAAAAAAAAAAGAAAAAA